GGAAGGTTACTGTCTTCAAGTTGTAATCCAGGAGGTATGGATGCCAAATATGGCAAATGCTTAAATTTAAATTTTTAGTATGATAAACTGTACATCACTATGAACCCCTCTGAGGTGCTCCTGCTTGCTTGGGTCACACTGACCCCGCTGCCCTGGACACTGTCTGAAGCAGCTCTGCCAGTCCACTTGCACGACTGGGTCACACTGACCCCGCTGCCCTGGACACTGTCTGAAGCAGCTCTGCCAGTCCACTTGCACGACTGTCCCTAGTTGCCCGGCCGTAACTGGCTCGTATGTCGGATCTATGAAACACACTTACTTCTGGGGTCATCTTGACTGTGGGGAGGGTCCCCAGGTCTCATGGGGCCAGAGGCAGGGTACGGAGTCCGGGAGGAAGCACCTCGAAGCCTTCCAAGGCGCGTCTCTGTTGGACGGTGCTCAGCTCCAGCATTCTCCAAATTTTGTATCACATCTCATAAAAACACCCAGAAAACAGGACTCGTAGGAATGCTAGCAAGTGGCCCGAACAGTGGGGTCAACATGCCCCAAGCCAGAGGAGGTGTCCTGAGGGGGACTGCTGGTAAGATGTGTCCCTTATTGTAAAGAAGTCTTTTATTCCAACATTCACAGTGCATTTCGATCACCCTGCGAGCAGCTCAAATGCCACCCAGAACCTGTCCCAGCTGGGCCACGCAGACAACGCTGATCATTCGGCTACTAGTTTTGCCACGTTACAAGTGAGACACTGAGGCAGACAGAAAAACCTGATGAAAGAAGATTACACAACGAGTAACTTCCCATCAACAAAGAACAGACATCTATTGCATTTCATTATAGTACGATTTTTAAAAATTCTTTTCTCAAAATTAATCATAAGAAAATGTACACTTTATTAAAATTGAAGATTGATAAAAATATCCAAAATCACATGGTGTCAGTAAGCGCTCTTCCGTCTCCAGAAGCTTGCCGCCGCTAGACATTCTGCTTCTCATCCTCCACGAGCTGTAGTTGCTCCACACATCTCATTATATAACCCACTTTTATGTCCCCTTGAAAGCAAATGAACCAAAGATAATGATCTAATGTTAGTCATGTTCCAGAAGAAAAAGGAAGAGTAAATAAATAGGCATGTTGCTGCAAGATGGACTTACCTGGCTGGAACTCGGGAGAAAACCAGTGCTCAGCGTACGGAGGCCAGGGCCAGCCAGCAGCTCAGGGGATGAAAGCGCTGCTTAGGCAGATGCAGGGGTTGGCGGTTCGATCCCCACCTGCCGCTCCCAGCCCACCCCCCCACGGCCCGCTGAGACTGAGGATCACCCCGAGACAACGAGACAACGAGGGAGCCACCTCAACAGTCACTCAGGACAAGAATCATCTACGACCCTAAGAAAAGACAAAAAAGCCCTCCTGCTGCCAGACCGGAGCACAACCTTGGGACGCAAAACCGCAAGTGGAGCTCTGCTGCCCCCTTCGTCCTGGCTCGCAGGGACCTCAGGTGCTGCATATGGCCACTTCCTTAGGCCTGTCCTTGTGCTCAGCCACATTTCCCAAATTCTGGCCCAGCCTGTGTGACAAATTCAGGACAAGAGAAAAGTCGTGTCCATGAAAAGTCTTCTCTTCTGTGTGATCAAAAAAAAAAGTCCATAGCACTGACGATGGCAATCTGTAATAGTAGGTTCATGCTTGGAGTGCCTGTCATTCTGGTCTTCTGAACACGGGCTGCTTGTCATGACATGCCAGTTGCTGCTGTGCTGTCTCTCAGGTAGATGATTATTCAAAAAGAAGAGGGCGGTGAATGAAGGCAGGAGACAGGAAAAGGAATGTTGCAGGACCGTCCTGCTTCAAGGTTGTATGTGGTTAGATTTCTGGACTTGTGTGTAAACATAAGAAGTATATAATTCTTTATGCCTATTTTTAATATATATTTTAATTTTTAAATGTTTTTTCATCATTCTGTAGGGACTTAAAGTTCAACATATCAATACTTGATGAAAAATACCTGTTTCATGTTATGCCTAACATGTTTGATATTCAGACAGACAGTGAGCTTAAGCTTAACAGCCTAGGTTGTATGGTAATAACAATAAGCTTCTCTTCTGGAAGGTTAACAACTTAAGTTTGCAGACCAAAATTAAAGAAGAAGAAGGACCGCAAGGAAAGCCAACATTTTGGCCCTAGCCTTCCAAGAATTCTCATTTAAGATCTCAGGATGGCCAAAGTGCTCAGCGGATTAAAGCGCCTGCAAGCCCCCGACCCCTCACTGAGATGGCAAATGAGACTGGGCGTGGTGGCGTGCGCCTGTAATCCCAGCTTTTAGGAAGCTGTAAACATGCGGATCACTGCGAGTCTGATCTAATAGTGAGACACTGAACACCATGTAGACCCTTACCTAAAATAAAATTTAAAAAAAGGTCTCGTCGCAGGGGGTGATCAGCGCGGCCTCCCGGGGCGCCTCAGCCGCCCGCCCCGCCGCTTCGCCTGTGCCGGGTCGCAGCCCCTGCGCTGCCTTGGGCCGGGGTCCAGCTCCAGGTTCCCGGGGGGCCCTGTTTCCACGCTTCTAACCGCCGTCCTCCGGGGAGCCGCTGCTGTGCGAGTACTTCGCTCTTCGTTTTTTCTCTCGTTCCTTTCGCGTCCAGCAGAGACGCCGTCAGCGTGCTCCCGCTGCCGGGCCTGCTGATTCCTTGCGGCCTGCCATGCCCTGATTGCTCGGCAGCCGCGAGGGTAGCCGGCGGCTGTGAGCACTCGGCGTGCAGGCCTCATTCTACCCTGTTTTATTTCCAGTCGACTGCGCTGACGTCTAACGTCTGTTTAACACATTTGAAGGTTCTTTAGAATCTTATTGACACTGGAATTGTAGGTCTTCCATCTTTACCTTAATCGTGGGATTCCACATGATGCGCAGAGAGACTCCTTTTATTTCTACGGGATCTTAAAAGCTAATGGCAGAATAATACAACTACTCGGACCAATTAACACGTTCCCCCAAGGCGCGGGTGCATGACTTCCCATTCCTGATCTGGAAGCTTCTTCGGCACAGCGCGCCCCGGGAAGAATCCACGCCCATCCTGGGCAGTGTCTTGGCTCCTGTCTGGCGCGCTTCTGGACCGAGTCCTAAGTTAGCCGCACTGAGCACCCTCCCGACGGTGGCTCTGCAGGGGCAGCTCCCGTGGCGTGCAAAACAACGGCGCCCAAAGCTCTAGCTGGGAGCTGCGTGCTTGAGATACAGCTTTGTTCGAAGTATTCGCGGGATTTTCCTTTAGATAATAGCATTTTTATTTGCATTTTAAATGACGTTTTAAATTGTTCTCCAGAGTCGCGTCTGCCTTCATAGATTCCCCAGGAGCCTGTTAACACCCATGCCAAACCCATCCTTTATCTTTGGTTCTACGCTGGCACGACATCCTATTCTTGAGCTCCTACAGACCCTAGGATGAAAAAAGCAAATGAATATCATCATGGGCGTGAACTTGAGGAAAACTTAAGCTTCTCATAGATTGTAGGAATTTCGGGAGCCTTCGGGTTTAACAGACCGCCCAGGATGGCCACCTCGCTCAGCCAGAGACCTCTACGGTGTCGGGAACCCAGTGTTTCTCCTGGGACAGGAAAGACTTGGCAGAAAAGAAAAAGGGATCAAAGCGTTAGAAGTCTGCCGCCACTCTGCGGAAGACACTGAGGAATCACGGAGGAGCAAAGGGCCCCATCAGCGGAGATTTTGCTACCTGCAGACCCAGACGGGTCAAGGTAAGCGTCTCGGGCCTGCCGGCTTCCCATCTGGGCAAGTCCTGCAGCTGCTGCCGCGCCTCCCACAGGCACCTGAGGAGCTGGTGGAACATACAGATCCCAAGCTGGGAGAAATTAACTCCAGGAGCAGAGTAAGTGCGGCATGAGCCCCAGCTTTATGGCACCTGCAAATCAACTCAGAGAATAGCGACAATTAGGCAGTGAGTGACACTATTCAAGCAATTCTTACGTCCCAGAAGGAAAATGGCCTCAGAGCCAAGCAAGCAGGCCATCCCACTTGGTTGGGTTCACTCTACAGGAGACTGGTTTTCTCTACTCAAGTAAGGGAGACAGGTCAGGAGCGGGAGCTGATAACTACTGAGTGGCGCCCCTCTCCTTGCTCAGTGGGGTTAACTGCTCACAGCTGAGCCACCTTAGGTATAAAAGCACTCGCTTTTCAGTTTTCTCCACTGCCTGCTGCCTGCTGCCTGTGGAGGTCTGAGCCCCACAGCTCACATCATGAAGGCTTTGCTCAGGCTAGAAGGCTCCCTGCTGCTACTTATTTCCTTGATGTGGATTTGCTCAGGGCAAGAGCCAGGTATCAGAGTGAATACGTGCTGGGGGTGCTTCGAAGGGTGATTCCCCAGAACTAAAGGCCTGGAACTTGGAGCTGCTGGGCCTTTACTGTCCCATCCTACAGTTAGTGCTCAGTAACTCTTACCAGCCCCATGCTTGATCCTTCCCTTGGAGCCAGAAAAGCTGTCAGACCAGTGTTACTCAAGGCCCTGTTCTGTTCTCTGAGTTCTCCCAGAATTAGTTTGGCTTTCCCTGCCTCCCACTGTTTCCTTCCTGGAATTTCCCGGGAAGTTCCTCTTGGGCAACTGCTGTTCCACATGATGTTGTCTGAATTACTCAGCTACACATTCCCAACTGGCCTCCCAGGCAACTGTCTCTCTCCCGCTAGATTATCAGGCTCTATTTTTCTTAGGCTACAACTTTGAACAGCTCCCTTCTTAAATACCCCAGTGCATCTCCCTAGCCAAGAAGGTCAGGCATAGATGGCCTTTGGCATCCTACAAAGGCTGACCTCAAGCTGCCTGTGATTCTAGGTGTCCAGTTGCTTCCCAGAGCACCCCAGAAAGAACATTTAAGGTGATTGTTTCTCCAAAGGTTGGAAATTCAGTCACCAGGGCAATATGGGTATTATAGGCTCCAGAGATCTCCGGTTTTATGCAAATTATGAGAGGAAACAATTAGAAAGTTGTATACATGCTGGTGAAATGGCTGCATCTACAGTCCTCCTAAAAGGAGAGGGTAATGGGAAGTACTTTGACCTGGGTATTGACCATGCGGAAGGGAATAGGCATGAGATAAGTGTTGAAGGTAAAACTGAAAAGATTTGAGTAGAGTGGATGTGAAAAGAAAGGAGAAAGTGGAAGTAAAGTCTAAGTTCTTTTGTCTTGGATATTGGATGGATTGTGGTACTAATGACTGAGACAGAGAGAAATATGAGAAGGGGAGATCAGGCATTCCCTACAGAAAATGACCTTGTGGAAAAGACCATTTTAAATGTATTCTTTATGTACCGTAGCTAAGCAGGGAGATGTCCCTACAACGGCAGAGAAGAGTCCGGGCTAGGCATAGGCCCAGCATCCGGGTCTCCCCAGGTAGTGCAGGGATGTGTCCCAAGCAACGAGCCAGCACAGCTCCTAGTCCCAGGGCTTTCCTACTCCTGTGACCCTGAGTCACTTTACTCCCCCACAGTGTGCCGGCACACAACTCTGGCTAAAGACTTACCATGTGAAACCTGTCACCAGAGGCTCAAGGTCTGCACAGACACCACATGTTGGGGGACTTGGGCTGCTGGGCCTCCGTCCAGAGGGGCTCCAGTGACTCCTTCTGAGGACAGTGCTAGCTGGCGGTTGCCACTGGGGGACTGTCAGTGTGGCCAAGGAGCCTGGCGGGGGAGCAGCGAAAAGGGGACAGTAGCACTGTGCTGGCCGCCTCCTGCTCGCAGGTTGTGTGGTGCAAGCCAGGTTCACAAAGACAAATGCCCCATCTTCCTACTATGTGGAAATTTTAAAAGATGAGAAGGAAGTAGAAAGGTAGCTGTTACTAGATACGAGGATATGTACAAGGGTGTGTGTAAGGGAGGAAAAAAAGGGAGGGTGGGTACGAGTGGTGTCCAGTCTGTGCATGGAACCCACCCCCATGTCAAACTGGGAAGGAAAGTGGGGTGCAGGAGATCACGGGAGGCGCAAGTAGCCCAAGCGCGGTGTCTGCATGTACAAATCTGCCAAATGAAAACTGAGAATGCTGTATAACTAAGAAAGAAAAAAACTAGAAAACGTAAAAAGAAAAATCCAAGCTTTATGCTGAAAGCTGCAAAACTTTCTGACAAAACTGAAAAGTCTCTAAATGGAGAGGTATTCTGTTTCCAAAAAACTGAAGAGAAGACTTATTGTTAATTGAAAATCAGAACAAGTGCAGCATTAAGTATAAAAGGACTCTGCCTTCCTGAAGACCGTGCAGTTTCCGCCCAGACACCGCTGAACGTTTTTCTCCTCTTCTACAGTGCTGCTGCGATGCACTCTATTTAACTTCCACGCCACTGTGAAGAGAACGTTGTTCAGCCCAGGCGTCCTGGTAGAACCCGAGGAGTTGTACCTAGGGACCTTCTGTCCGGCAACTCTGGTGCAAGCAAATGAAATTCATTTCGATTTTCCTACCAACCTCTGTGGAATTAAGATAAAGGTAAGAGAAATGAGCTTTTTACCCAACGCCATCTGGAAAGCCCTCGGGAAGGTTGATGTGGTTTTGTGGGTATGATGGCTCCCTGGTACAGCCTGCTGCTGCCTGGCCTCCATGATTTGTTTTCAGTGAGCATGACGTTGGGGTGAGCAGGACACAGGGACTAACAAGGGCACAGGAACATCCAGAGACATTCAGAAGAAAGGATGAGGGAGGAAGGCTTTGAACCAAAACTAGACTCATTAGTTCTTCTTAATTCAAAGCTCTCACCAAACTGCCAGGCAGGGCCCCACCCCCGGGGCATGCTGAGACTACAATTGAGACTGGGTGTGGCAGTGCACACCTGCAATCCCAGCTCTTGGGAGGCTGTAAAGAGGTGGATCACTACGAGTCCAATCTAGTAGTGAGACCCTGAACACCCTATAGACCCTTCCCTGAAAAAAAAAAAAAAACTATCAGTGAAAATGCGCCAGTTGTGTTTCAGAGGCCTGAGATGTTGTGGGGACATGCAAGGTCTGCAACAACCAAGTTATCTGGCCTCACGTGCTGCTGGGGTCAAGGGGGAGAAACCCAGTTGGAAATATTCAGTCACTTTCTCTCCCATCCCCTTGTCCTTTCACCCCAAAATTTAAATACTTAGAACTGAAACAGCCCATACTCTGACAATCTAAAGAAGAGTACTTTATACCTTAAAATTATCTTCTCTGTCCTAAGGTTTAATTTTAATAGCTGAGATAAACCACTTCCATCCCTGTGGAAGCATATGGGTCCTCCTATAGAATAGTGTGCAGCTAATCAATTTATACAGTAGTTTAATGACAACAGAATCTCTCTTTACAAGTAGGAACAAAAGGTACATAGAATATATGATCTCAATAGCAGAAAGACAAATGGAGGGCCAAGGTGGATTGCGTGGAGATAGAGAAACTGAACCCAGCACGATATACTCATGGGAACTGGGTTGAACTGTTAACCACCAAACATATTCCAGGTGCTCCCTATAGGAAGTCAATGCTTCATGTGCAGAACACGCAGCGAGCTGTCTTCCGTTCCTGGATGACCTGTACACGCAGCCATAGATCCACTTCTGCTCAGCCTCTAGAGTCTGTGCTTCCATCACTTTTAACTACCTGCCTTCCTTTTTCAGTTCCTAATGTTTTCAGAGATTTGGGAATAAGAAGTGAAGAGAAAATAATTCAATTCAATTTCAATTCAGAGGTATCATATGAGTGTTTCAAGACCACATAATAATTAGCTTGTGCTTTTAATCCTCCTTATAAAAAAAATTCTAAGTACCTCCAAAAAATGTTTCCTAGAATTTTGAGACAGCTAACGGTAGACCTCCCCGACAAACTCACCCTTACTTGCAAATTCTCAAAAGCCAGGCATCATATTTTTCACTTATTTTCTCATTAACAATTCCTTTCTCCCTTGCCAGACAGAAACTTTGTCATGTTAACTGGAGTAGATATCTTGACCGCTACAGAGGTTGAAGGAGCTAGTTTTTATTTGAACGTATATTGTGACAAATGAACATGCCTATCAAAGGTCTCATTTCCCATCAGCATTACTCTGATAGAAGTGTCGCATGCTCCTCGCTCACTTACAGACCACAGAGTGGACCCACCGCCGAGCTTAAGCTGGAGTGTCTAATTCCCAGGTCAGTACCGATATTCACCGGTGCCTCCCTGCATGGTAATAGCTTTTTTGCTAACATGTGTTACTACTTATCTAGAGACCTTGAAAACTCATGATTGCTTTTATGTAGCTTCTTGGTGTCATAGCACGCTGGTCCACTAGCCCAAACCAAATGAGTTAAGAAAGATGACAAAGCCGGGGAAACAACTTGATCTTTCTACTCCCCCGAGGAGTATGCAGACTAATGCTTTCCTGTTGCCCTAAGGACCACCGCGGCAGGCCTGAAGTCTGTGCCTCATGCAACTCTTGATGCTCTTGGGGGAAAGACCATGAGAGGATAGAAAACTAAAGAGACAGAAAGCTGAGGTCAGGCAGGGCACACTCTCTTGACAGAGGAGCTACCCTAGTTGGTTTATTTATACTCTCAGGAGGTTGGTGTCAATTTCAGTTTCTCTGCATAGCAACTTTGTATGGCTCCCTGAGCACCTCCTTTCCTGGAGGATGGACCAAAAATAAATCATTCTTGATTGGAAAGGTTTTTTTAAGTATCAAACAGCCCTTTAAATACAAAATTGTATGGTTTAAGCAGTAAGTATGTATTTTATAAGCAAATTAGAATTAAATAAGGAAAAATGAGGAGAAGGCTTTCAAATCCTAGATTCAGCTGGGAGTCAGCAGTTGAGCAAAGTGGCTTCCTGGCCCTTACTTATACCAGTAACCTCAGCTGAACTCCTACGCTGTGCTGGCAATAAGTTTCAGAGAACTGCAGGCGTTTGAACTCTCAGCATCAAGCCCATATGGGAGTCACCAATGTTGTCCCTGTTCAGTGACTGAGAAACCTGGACAGAAGCACACCTAATGATTTGCCAGCTTCTCACAGCTAAAGAGCCAGCAGGGCTGGAATATCCCCTAATACCACTGTGCTCTGTCGCTCTGAGATGGTTCCTCAGCTCTCTCTCTCTTCCTCCTACCTCACTGCATGGTCTCTAATACGGGTCTTTAATAAAAGGATTCGAGCTGTGTTAGCTCTTGGTCATCTACTAAGTAAACTTGAAGAGATTCTAGGAATGTCTCCTTTTAGACTCATTACTACTTCCAAGCAAAAACTTCTGCAACACGAGGAGTATCTCCTGGAAATGGTTCTCCTCAACAGGGCACAAGAGTTTCTGTGTCCGTACTTGTGACCCCCACAAGGCAGGATGTGGAGAGAGGCTGATGCTGTCAAACAAAAGTAACACAGTGGTGCTATTCTTAAAATAGTAAACAGTTAACACTGTGCTCAGGGTTGTCTGGAGGCAGCCCTTATGACATTAATGAAGCTGCTAACTTGACATTAAAGTACCACATCAAGGCCTGGACTGCAACCCCAGGCCCGCCTGTTGATCACTGAAAGCCAGATGTGAGGCTTTAGTTTGGGGGAGAAAGCAAACCTCCCGCAACTCATGGTTACCATGCAGCCAGGGTTCTGCATGTCCACTGACAGTGCCTGAACCTAAACTTCAGTCCCTGAAGTGATGATTTTCCAACCTTTGTGTTGTTTGCTTTTCTCTCTTTTTCCTTTGGAAGCTTCTACACCGTGCGTGATGACGATAAGATACACCCAATCTACACTCAAAAACCTGTTCCTCAGCAGTGGTACTTGGTACAGCACAGATTCTGCAAAGAGAGCAAGTGTCTCCTTTGGGATAACTGGGTAAGGAGACCCACGAGGCCACATGTAATGGCAGAATCAGGTGTCTTCCAACCAAAACAAAAAATTTCAAGACATCAGTACCCGTCCCACCCCTACCCCAGTCCACAGAGGCCTTGGTGGACCACAGCTCTGGGGCAGAGGTGGACACAGAGGTTGTGGCCTTCTCTCGCCTACACTTCGTGCCACATTATGTACAGGGTTGATTGGCAGAAGCCCCTATGCTTGTCAGAATTCTGTCTGTGTCCAGGATGTTTTTCCTTCAAAAGAAAAGATTTCACTTTACGAAGTTCAGATCTGCACATTTGAATCCAAAGCCAATGCCCATAACAGAAACAGACTGAAAAGTGTTGGAGTCATCAGTTTGGGATATTTTCTTCATATCTTTCCCAAGAGACACCAAATGACAGGGCTAAGATTGTGACCTGGGCTGGGAGGGTGTGAAGGAAATACATGGATGAAATGGTTTGAATTTTATCACTGGTTCCATTTCAAACATTTGAAACATCACAAGACTCTCTCTCTCTCTCTCTCTCTCTCTCTCTCTCTCTCTCTCTCTCCTTCTCTCTCTCTCTTTCTTTCTCTTTCTCTCTCTCTTTCTCTTTCTCTCTTCTCTTTCTCTCTCTCCATCCCCCTCCCCCTCTCCCTCTCTCTCTCTCTGTTGGGGGGGCTCTCCCTCTTTTTTCCTTCGCCTATAATCTTCAAGAGACAGAATTTATGTTGCCCCTATTGGAAAGTCCGGACTATTTCAAGAATGCATGTGAAGCGCTCATTTCTTAGAGCTGTGCCAAGTTAGCTGGCTCCATTCCCAGGCAGATGAGCCCAGGGAGGCCGCCCCTTCTTTAGAACAATATCCCTGAAACTTGGGTTTCCTACCTAGCAAACGTCAGCTGCTTATGAACTTTGTTTTTCCCATAGTCAACACCTTATTATGGGCCACACCATCTGCAATCATCTTAGCCAGGCTCTCATCAGATTTTAGAGGCTCCTGTCCTTGGACACTAGGCGGCATCAAGAAGCGACCTAGTTCCATCACATGATGTCTTTTATCTTTATATATTTGCATTCTTTTAACTCATTTAAATCTGTTGTAATCCCTTTTATGATGCCTCTGAGAAGAGGCTGTGTTTTTAAATAAAATTCAGCATATTTTATTATGTCTGTATTTATTGTGTTTCTAACTTAACTCAAATTTATTAATCCCTAAACTGCTGGAATGAATTAGTAGGCAGATGAGAGCCTGGGTTCAGCCAGCCGGCAGCTATGAAATTCGCAGCTGCTGATGGCCAGTCCTAGCTGAACACAGAAGCAGAGCTTGTAAAGTCTCTTGGAAGATGCTAAATAGAAACTGAGGCCCAAGGGTCATCGCAAGGGCCACGCTGAGCGCTGTGCGTGTATATTCCTATGCCATTCAAGATTTGCTTCTGTCAAAATATTACTGGTGCTGTAACTTTGGAAACAGTGGGCTAGACACAGTGACTCACATCTGTAATCGCAGCACCCAGGAGGCTGAAGCAGGAGGATCACAAGTCCAAGGCCAGCATGCGTTACAGAGTGACACTCTCGCTCAAAAACTACAGTGAGGCAGCACAGCGACGCAGCCCAAACGCGAATGTGAGCAATGCTGCGAGGGGCTGAATCCCGAAAATAAGGCGGCCCTGGAGGCCTGGGTCAGGGGAACGGGTCTCCGCCTCGTGCAAGTGACCGGGCAGAGGAAGTACGGCGGCCACCCCCAGGCCGGTGGGCAGCCCGCCGCTGCCGGCTGCCCCAGGACGTGGGCGAGCACCAGCGGACCCCACCCTTGCAGCGCGTGGGCCGGCGCTACGAGGTCCGCCTGACGATGACCTCAGCGGCCTGCCCCCGGCTTCGCCTGCGCCCGCTACAGCTCGAACGCGGCGCCCAGGCACAACCACCCTGCGCGGCCATCCTGCCCGTCTGCCGCAGCACCGAGAAGCACGAGCTGAGCGTGGACCGGCTGCCGCTGGGTGTGACCCACAGCACGCTGCTGCTGGGGCTGCAGCCACCCGGCCCAGCCTGCAGGAGACGCCGCTGCTGCCCAGTCCAGGCCCGCGGCCCGCAGCCTGCACAGATAGCGCTGCTCAAGTTCAGCTTGCACCTGGCCACAGCCGTGGCCAAAGAAGAGATCCTATAGAAGGTCAGCCACGCCTCCGTGGGGAACAGGTGGCTGTGGAGTGGCTCGAGCCAGACCTAAAGCAGCGGCTCCGCCAGCAGCTTGTGGGTAGGGGCCCACTTCGGTGCCTACAGCCAGATGGCAGCCAGCTGGTCAGGGGCAAGGGGCAAGCTGGGGTACCCAGGGGCTCGGTCTGCCCTGCAGCTGCCGGGCCAACGAATGAAGCTGGGCAGCCCAATATTCCTGACCGAATGTTTGGGCGCAGGACCCGCTGGCTGGCACCGCTTCTGGTACCAGGTGGTGATCCCTGCACATCCATTACCTTTTGGCGGCCTCACCTGGGTCGTGCTGGCCGCAGATGGGCGGATGCGCATGAGGTGGCCAGGGACGCTGTGTCTGCGCGGCTGCAGGAGGCGCTGAGGGACGCTGCAGGCGGTCTCATGGTTTTCAGGAGCTGAGGCAGGTTCTGTGGTTATGCAGCGATTTCTGCCTCTCCCCACAGGCAGCCTGAACGGTAGGCAGGGCCTGTGTCAGCCTTCAGCCCAGCAGGCCTGAGCAGCAGCTGGCTGATCCTCAGAGGGGGTGGGGCAGGGCCCAAGGCACACCTGAGGACACCCAGATCTGGCTTAAGTTCTGGTGAGGCACCTTGCCCTTCCGCCCTGAGCCCAGGGTCTCACCAACTCCAGTCTGGTTTCTCTTTGGCCATTCCTTATACAGCAGAATACCGTATCACCCCCTTCTCCCCTGCCCCCGAACTTAGCATGAATCTTTGTTTTCATTTGGGGGACTGGCTGAGCCAAGAGTCAACCTGTGCCCTTCCATCCCACCAGTTGTCATTCTGATGTTGGTTTGTATATGGTTTTGAGCTTTTCTATGCTGGCTGTATTTATATTAAATTCCTAGTTCATATAAAAAAAACTAAGAGAGAGAGAGACAGAGGCAGAGACAGACCGAGACCCACATTGCCACTGGAGGACTCTGAACTGCATGCTCTTGTGACGACTCACACAGTCCTTCACAGAGCCGCAGAGCGCCAGCCTCAAGCCTAGGGTGGGTTCTTACCCATCAAGAGTCAAAGTCGCCCTGCCTGTGGAAGTCCCCCATTTCCTGTTCAAACGTTAGTGTCTTAGCTTCTTTCATCACTCCTGAGACAAAATCCCCAACATGCAAAGTTAAAGGAGAAAAGGTTTGTTCAGCTCACAGTTTACAGAGGCTCCAGGCAATCTGCTGACTCCAAGGCAAGGTAGATGGAGGCGGTATAACAGTTCATGGTGGGCAGAAGGTTACAAAACAAACAAGGGATGACCACAGCTCTTCCTAGCCTTTGTGTCTTACCCAGGCTACTTAAGGGAGGTGGCACTCACATCCTCGATCCTAGTGCCACTGGACCATGAGCCAGTCCCAGCAATGCACACTCGAGACACAGTCATCCCTGAAAAAGCCCCGTCTACGATCGCATGGAGCTTCAGTGGGACACCTGAACACAAGCCATGCCAGTCAGTAACAGCAAGTATTTTCTGCTCATATCCAGCTGGCTTGCATTCAAGGGAAGCATGCTCTGAGGCTACTACTGTGGCCTGACTTTCCACAGAAGCAGCTCCACTTCTGGGGACGCTACAGAATACTTCTGTCTCACTCTGCCTGCACTGAGACCCAGAACCTCCAAGCCACTGTCCAAATGGATCAAGTGTTGAGACATTGGCCGTTTGAGCCTGGAATCCTCTTATTTCTTGTACTAAAAATAAAAGTATGAATGATGGCATTAGTTACTCCCATTTATAATCCTTTCACATTTAACTCCACCATGTTTGATTCTATTTTACAAGAGAACCCTTGCAGTCTTCCCCTCTGATTCCCCAGCTTGGGCTCCTGTTCCTCTGCTTCGATTGCTTCAAGAACTTCCAGTTGCAGCTTTCTCATGGTCTGGTCACCCGAGAAACAACCCGGGGTATAACCCAGGGCTGCTAGTTGAGCTCTTTCCTTTTGAGCCACCTACATTTGGAAGGGAAGGGTGCTGGGATCCCGGTGACAGTCACTGCTGTGCAGACACTACTTCCCGTTCCTCCAGAGGGATAGGCTCTTCTGTCTGGAATGCTGCTTACATGGATGCTGCGCTGACTGCTGGCACTGTCCATGTCTCAGCTTATGTCACCTCTTCAGAACAACACGTACTGAGCGCGTTACCCAGTGCTGGTACATTTCCACACCATTATCTTTGACTTTGTTAAAATCACTACCTAGGGCTGGGGAGATGGCTCAGTGGAATAAGCACTTCCCTGGCAAGTGCAAGGGCCTGAGTTCAATCCCCAGTTCAAAATAAAATCACTACCTAGCTTGACTCTGCCATCAGGGTGCCGGATTGACGGAGGCAGAGATCCGTTCGTGGCTGTTTTCTCACCCTTGCCAGACACACAGCCAGTGTGCAAGCGCAGTTCTCTCATGGTGAGGCAGGGGAAAAGTCAGGTGGAAACAGCTAGCAGGAAGCTGTCCATTGAATGAAGGCAAGATTTGAATGAAGACCTCAGATAAGGGCCGGGGAGATAGCTCAGTAGAATAAGCACTTGCCTGGCAAGCACAGGGTCCTGAGTTCAATCCCCACTACCAGGAAAAAAATAAATAAGCCTCAGATAAACCCAGTGGTGACCTTTAGTGTTTCACTCTGACTTCTGTCACACTTTCATGACAAGGATCTGCATTGTCCCCTGATAATTTATTTTGTTGTGCAAAAGCTTTTTTAGCAAGCTGAGATCGCAGGGGTTGATTCTTTGTAATATCTCCAGTGCAGCAGGGTTTTGTTCATAAAGTCTTTGCCTACACTAGTGTCTTCAAGAGTTCAACCTAGTCCCCTCTCAGCAAATTTAGTGTTTCTATTTTAATACTCAACCAATAGCAAATGCTGTTGGGGGACTGTAGGGGAAAAGATCCCTTTCCCACTGTTAGTGGAAGTGTAAAAGTTTTTGTAAATAAGGAGGGAAAGAAGGGTTGAAGAGAGGGTAGGGAAAAGGGGGAAAATAAATGGAGATATATCATGTACAGGTACAAAATTACTATGATGAAAATGATCATTGTATTTAAAATGTACCAATAAACTTAATTTAAAAAAAAAAAAACATTACCACCAAAAGAGTGGACCAGGCCAAGGTAAGGTATCCATGTCCAGTCCCTCATTGTTTAATTTGTAAGCGTGAACTTTCCAGATTGGGTAGGAAACGGGAACGTGTGCGGCCACGGGTGGTTGGCGTGCTCTGTGCATCTGAATGTAGACCCGTGTGCACACACTGGGGACAGTGGCTGGCGCTGCACCTCCACTCACTGCCTCGTCCCGGGCGACGACGTCGCACACCCGACTTAGGGTTAGGGTGCTGCCACTGCATCCTGCACGTGTTAAGCCCAACACGACAAAAGCCTAGATTTTCGTCTGGGCTGGCAGTCCGCCATCATCCCACATGCCGCACAACGTGCTTACAAGACACAAAAAAAGCCAAGCAATAGTCATTCCAAAGGTCTTTATTCCCATTTCTTTACTTCTACCCCTTTGTTCACAGCGAAAATTCGAAGGCAAAAAAAAAAAAAAAAAAGCACAAATCCTGCCCTCAGGGATAAAACTAATTATGGCACTTGATTGGGCTACAAAAGACAGGAAAACATCTCTAAAATATGGACAAGAACTGTGCTCCCTTTTATTTTTAAAATAGAAAACAGAGAAGTACACTTATCCTAAATAAATGATAATAAAATCCATTGTCATCTACAGAAAGCGCGACCTCTATTTCCCTAATTAATCAAGCAGTTATGACTCCCGCACCATGAAGTCACAGACAACAGTACCAGGCTCGCCTAGTGGGCAACTCACATCCCTGATTCCGCCCCACACTTTCCAAGTCAGAACTCCCAGTGAGAGCAACGTGTGTTCTGGGTTTTTAAGCAAGAGCTCAAGGTGATTCTGGTGTGCTATTCTGATCTCTAGCAAAGTATTTCAAATTGAAATACTTTGCCAAATGATAGTCTCTTTTTTTTCTACGATGAGCTCTTGATCTTTAAAAAATGGATTAGGATTTCCAGGTGAAAAAGGATTTCTACTTTAGCACTAAGCACTTCCCAGTATTAAATCAAGAACGAGCCTAGCTGGGCGTGGTAGCAAGCCCTGCCATTCCAGCACTTAGGAGACTGAGTTCGAGGCCAGCCTGAACTGCATGGTAAGACCCTGTCTCAACAAAAATAAATAAATAAATAAATAAATAAATAAATAAATAAATAAAATCAAAAGAATAGGCCCTGGCGAAGGCTGCCTCACAGTGATAACATGGAGTAGATAAAACTGATCGTCCTGGCCCTACCTAGTCTCAGAGCCTGGCTTTAGGAACTGGTCACATATGTTCCGTGAAGACATTTAGATCGGTACCACCCCCCTCCCCCAGAAGTACAGCTACACAGAAATTGAAATGTGAGGGGACAAAAGCCTGCACAGCACCCTGACCAGCCCCCTGAAATTCAGCAACTATATAGCTTCCAGAAATAAAGCCCCAAATCAGTCCTGTGGCCTATTAGAGGTCCACGGAAGGTAACGTTCCTGGAACAACACACTCACGTCCTTGCTCTCTCTCCTCCCGGGTCCCTAGCACCTGTCTTGCTGCTGGGTCTCTGGAGGCTGGGTCTGTAACGAGGAAAGGCTGCTTTCCAGCTGCCCTCTTTGAGGACGCATCATCCGCATCATCGTGCACAGCTGCTGGGCTTCCCAAGCACAACACCAGACAGGTGGTGCGCACGCCACTTCCTGCTCCTCGCTGGGTGGTGTGCAGGCTCAGCAAGATGGAGGTTTCCCTGGCCTTTGGAAAGCTGCTGCTTCTGTTTTCTCTGATTCAGACTCGCCCTAGAGGCCCACCAGGTACTTACAAAGTAGCAGAGTGGTCGCCAGTAAGGCTGCAGCTGGCGGTGCAAGCCCAGTGGTAGAGCACCCACTGGAGCCAGCTCCCAGCTCTGCAAATGAGAATGAAGGCCGATAATAATGCTTTTCCTCTGGCTTTTTCCTATGTGGGTGCTTTTTCTCTGGCTTCTTCCTATGTGGGTGTTTCGGTGTGTTGCTGCATTGCTAGTAGCCAAAAAGCCACGCTAAACAGTCTGTCCTCAGTGGCTGACCTTGCAATACATGCTGTCTCGTGTCCCCACTCCCACCCCACCCCACCCCCACCTCACCTTGGTCTTCCCCAGTCTCTTCTCCCTTGAAGGATGATCATCCTATAAGGAGACGAGGGTTGACTGAGGAGACAGAAGAGGTTTCTGTGCCTCTCCTGTGGAAGCGTTACCTTCTGCTCCACTGTGGAAAAGGATGCCCGGATTTAAATCTTAAGAGGGCCAGGGAGATGGCTCCGTAGAATAAGCGCTTGCCTGGCAAGCACAAGGGCCTGAGTTCAGTCCCCAGTTCCACCAAAATAAATAAATAAATTTAGAGAATTCCCCTCAAATGCTTACCTCTCCTAGATTGGCCAAGGAATCTTTATTTTTTGGCTTGGGAAAGCAAAATGCTAAGAGCTTCAAAAAAATATTTCCCAGGAATTCTGACAATAAGGCCATGATTCTGTCATTACGCATCTTCAAGATAAAGTCTACCCTACCAGACAGCTGTTTGAGATACACACTTGAGGACACCCACATAAATGTTCTCAGTGCTTATTTTTAAGGAAAATACATCTCCTAGCAATTCGAGACTAATTCAGAATTCTAACAAAGCCTAGAGACTGTGTTGGTAAGTGAAATAAATCAGGCCCCGATGTATAAACATTGTGTTCTCCCGATAGTGTGAGAACCTGGAAGAATAAATACAATCTGAAAAGCACAACAGACAGTGTGACAGGGGAAGGATTTGCTCAGTGGGAAGGAAAAACTAGGGTGGGGAAAAGGACAGAAAAAAGGGAAACATACTTAGGTGCATGGGCAGGATAGTTTGGATAACTGTACTGCTGATTTGTCCTGCTCTTTTGAAAGCAGTTAATGCTTAAAATTATTTTCTTTTCTCATTTTTTTCTTTTCTTTTTAATTTCTTATAACATTTTTATTTTGTTTTGTCTTCTTCTGTATTTTAGGGAAGGGTTACAGGGTGTTCTGGGTCTCACTACTAGATGGGACTTGTAGTGATCCCCCTGTTTACAGCCTCCCAAGAGCTGGGATTACAGGCACGTGCCACCACGCCGTCTCAATCGCCATCTCAGGGCACCCAGGGGTGGGGCTGGCACAGCAGGCCTGGAGATTGCACTCCTGGCCCCTGAGCCTGCTTGTAGGTGCCTTAATCCACTGAATTGTTTAACCAGCCCTTATTTTGTAACCAATTTTTTAACCAATTTTCCAGGTTTATACCTGGTAACCTAAACAACTAACTTGAAGATAACATCATGCAATACAGCAACTGTTGTTCAGTGAAATTTTGTATCATTTCTAATGCTTTTTTAAAAATGATTTTATGTTCTTTAAAAAACTAGAATTCTAACAAAGCCAAGTTCCATCCCGCTGGGTAGTTCTTGAAGATTCTTATATAGGGAACAACTTGAGTGCCAATTACCATGCAGACAAATGAGTCCCCATCCCACACCTAATGAATTTCAGTTGTGAAAATGCAGCCAAAGAACTTGAGTTTTCAACAAGCCTTAAAGGTGGTTCCATAGTGAATTTAAGTAAAAGGCTGACATCCTGCTCCTAACCAAAATTGGGGTTCAGTGTGAAGTCACTTTATGTTTTCAGCTGTCAAAATTAACTCAGAAGATCTGGCAAGATCCCTCCATTCTTCACTACTACTCGTGAGTCCAAAGTAATATCTGCACTGTGCTAAATCATCAGAGCTCTTTTCACTTGGAAATAACTCCTTCGAGCTCTGCTCCCTATTTAAAATAATTACCTTGGATGTCCACCATTCGTGCTAAAATTACTGCATCTAAAGCAAAATGCATGCTTTTGCACATCATAGTTTCCCTCCCCTTCCCCTCCCCCTCCCTTTTCCCTCCCCTCCCCCTTTCCTCCCCCCCCTCTCTCTTTTTT